AGAGAGAGAGAGAGAGAGAGAGAGAGAGAGAGAGAGAGAGAGAGAGAGAGAAGAGGAGAGGAGAGATTCCGTGTTAGCACGTCCCTCTTCTACACTTCTCTAAGAGGGGTTGTCTAGGAATTTTCATTTTCCAACTAGTTCACACCCAGGATCCATCAATCTGTCAAAATTATTGTTGAAACTGGGCGGTGGTGGCACACACCAGCACTCAGGAGGAAGAGGCAGGCAGATCTCTGTGAGTTCGAGGCTAGCCTGGGCTACAGAGGGAGATCCAGGAAAGGCTCAGACACAGAGAAACCATGTCTCAAAAAAAAACCAAAAACCAAAACGAAACACCAAACACCAAAATTGTTGAATTGCTCCTACAGCTATTGGCTCTGGAGCCTTCTGCTTTAAGCAAGCTCCTTGTGACCTCCAAACTGGGGAGGGGCATTCTTTTACTTAGTGCTCTGGTTTCATTTCTGTTGCTATAATACAACATTCTCACAAAAAGCAGCATCAGGTTGATGTGGCGTGGTGGCCTTGCCTTTAGTCCCAGCACTGGAGAGACAAAAGCTGGTAGAAGTGCAACTGGAGACCATGGCTCATTGGTGGCATGGATCGTAGGTGACCGAGAACTGTGGAGGCAATGCTCTTCTGATGCAGCTATCAGCTCTTCTTGACCTCGGCGAGATGGCTTTTATAGCCACATAAAAGAAAAAAGGAACTGCTCAGCTTATGAAGCACTTGGAACGAAAATGAAGATTACCTGGGAACCTAGAGTCAAAGTTGGACCACAGACTTCTACACGCAGATTAAGCTCATTTTAGTTCTGTAAATGATCCATGAGGTTGAGGGGGCGGAGCTGTTTTGGGGAGCCTGGGGTAGATGTGCGGGAAACGTTCTACAGAGTCCTAAATTAGTAAAAGGTAGGACCTGTAGCCCAGCATCCAGCGCTAAACAGTGATGGACTCAGATGTTGGTTGGTTTGTCCGTCTGTAGAGGGCAGCACATACCAAGGGAAGGGAAGAGGAAATCCCCCCCCCCTCAGGCTGTTTGTTACTAAGGAAGTTTTTATTCTTTTAAGGAATAACAGGTTTGAGGCAGTCAGAAGACCTCCAGTGAAGCAAAGCTGTACATGAGACCCTGCTCTTCCGCTCTCATTCCCAGAAAACCCTTAAGCCTCGTTCCCTTTGGCTCTGTGAAGACAGGACCAGCATCTGGTGCAGAAAGGAAGGTTGGGAAGCTGCAGGGCGACCAGTCCAGCAGCGGTGGAGGAGCACACAGGTCAGAAAGGGACCGGAAGACAAGGTGGATGGTGTGCTGGAAACCTAAATGGAAGGCAATATTTCAATACTATTTAGTTTAGGTACAAATTAATGGGTTTCATTATGATATTTTCATATATATATCGCTGTACCTTGTTCATATTTGCTTTTCATTCATTTTTATGAGTGTGTTTCAGTTGTATACAATAATGGGTTTCATAATTAGTCATATCTTCATGCAGGCATCTAACACGCTGGGGTTAAATGGCCAACTTCTAAAGCTGGAATCTAGAGGGAACATACCTGAGACTTCTGACCCGGTACATAGACCAAACTTGCTTCTTTCTTGTCTGGTTTCCTGCAGATAATCTGGAAAAGGGAGGAAGGAAATCCCTCCATATAGTGTGCTATCGTGGAGAAAGTGTGGGAACTGGGTGTGGCAACTCAGAGCCCAGGCTCCAGAGGCAGAGCTGTTTCTGCCTCTCTCAGTGTTTGTTTCCCCTTGCCCAGCACCCCATTTTATTCCAGTACCAGAAAAAGATAGGTGTTACACTTGAGGAGGAATTTCAGAGAGAAACATTTGGAAGCTCTTATTCTGAAATAACAGATGGAGTAAGGGAGAAATGGAGGAAGGCAGCAAGAGAGGGAGCTAGGGGGAGAGAGGAGGACTAGATGTTGGCATGTTCTTCTTGAAAGAGTGTATTGCTCTTAGAGCATTAAGAGACTGTTCAGGAGACATGACTAATAATATGGGACCAAGAATACTATAAAGAACTTTGTCAATGAGATCCGCTAGGGATTTTGATGGATATGAGATATGCTCATTTGATGAACGAGGGAAACCTGGTTTGCAGGCTAGGACTTCAAGTGAGCTAGAATGCTCATTCACAGATGCAATAAAGGAGTAATCAGTTAAGAAAAGACCAAAAGAGCGGGTTGCTTCAGGCAGGACTGATGAAAGGCATTAGTCTCAACTCAAGGATCAAAGAAAGCCAAAGTCCTGAGGATAATGTAGAATTAAATCATTTGTGAAAAGGATTTAGAAAGTCACGGAGAGACTATCATCTCAATAAACAAAAAATCAACCTATGACCCACTGAAGGTTAGATTTGGAACTCTGAAGACAACTTTTATTGAGCTCTTGACCTGACCAAGTGTGCTTCCATTCAAGGAAAAAAAATGTTCACCCAGCCCACAAATGCTGTCTTTTCCCTTAGCCACAATGTCAGTAGCCATTTGGCCAGCCTCTCAGTGGTTGGAAACGGGATCCCCACCCGCCAGCCCACTGCGAGGGAGAAGGCATTGTGTGTCCCAGAAAATCCCAACACCAGTATTGGAAATGAGGGCCAGATTAAGATGTACATCGGTGAAGTGTGTCGAGAGACGGTGTTAGGTGGCTGCAAGTCATTTCTGCAGCAGGCCGGATTAGATCTGCTAATAAGCATGACAGTTATTAATAACATGCTTGCCAAGTCGGTTTCAGACCTGAAGTTTCCCTTGATTTCCCAGGGAAGGGAATGTGCAAAGGTTGAGGGTCTGGGAGCCCTGGTGGGTTTGCCTGAAAAGCCAGTGTTGGCAGGGGAAGTGCTGGCTGCCCAACTGCTGTCCTCATCCATGCTCCCCTTTATCAGAAGCAGGAGCAGAGAGATGCTCCTGGAAGCCCTCTCCCCATAAGTGGCCTTCTCGAGCAGAAGGAGACCGAATCCACCCCGAGCCCGAGCAGTTGACTGAGGGAGGCAGAGAAGCTGCAGAGGGGTGCAAGCAAGGATGCAGCCTTAGCCAGTGAGCGCCTCCTGGGGCGAAAGTTCCAATCCCAAAATGCAGGGCCACACTCTTCTTGGCCAGGCAGGGCTCCCCAGAGCCCTGGGCAACCTCTGGGCTTTGTAGTCTGCAGGTAAAGCGCATTGTAAATTGCTCCCTTGCAGCCTTCCTCCTGCAGTAAAGGGTGAAGGGATCGCCCCTTTGGCTGCTAGCTGCAGATAAGGAACATCAAATCACAGCATCACGAGTGCTGTGCTTGCCTGTGGTGATCTCCCTGTCTAAGCGGGACCACTTAGCAGAAATGACACCCACATGGGAGCCTGTGCCCAGCTTGCATCTGCTGCCGCTGCTTTGGTCGAAGTAGTTCCCCTCTCCCCTTTTCTACACTAGCTGATGAATGGCTAGCATGTTAATCAAAGAAATACACTCCCCTCCTGTCCGATGTACCGACTGACCCCCTTCCACCCGAGCCCCCACCTGTGTGTATCATCAATAAACTTGTGTGCTTTGATTGGCAAGAAAATGAAAAGGGGCACTGGACTCATCTTTGAGTTCGCGGTCTACACAATCAGGGAGACACAATACACCACAGAGTCCAGCTGTCTGGGGCCCCTGCTCCCTGACAGGTGCACTCACCAGTGCTCACAGGGGGCAGGGGCAGAAAGGGACTGCTGGGCTCAGGATAAACAGGCTTCAGGAGAGGGGCACAGGGGAGGGGTGAGGGCAGGGGTAGATTTAAGGTGTGGGTAGGGAAGTAGAGGAGACAACACCCTTGAAGCGGGCACCCTGGGGCCCTGAGTACAGGAAGCCCTTAAGCAAGAGGTCTTCTTGACTGGCCTCCTTGGGCTGAAGGCTCCAGCCCATGGCATTTCTCTCTGTGCATCCTGCAGTGGCTCTGTCCCCCACCTGTGCCCATCTGGCAGAGGATTCTCCCAGGAGGGATTACCACGTGGCTGGCCCCTGCTAGGTCCATGTCTATCTGTCCCCTTAAGGTGCTGTCAAAACCACTTCCTGCCTCCCTTCCTTCCTTGGGATCCTAAGCACTGCTTCCTGGCAGGGTGAGAGGGTTGGCAGCTGCTCCACTCTTGGGGAACCTCCTTTCTTCCCTAGCCCTTCCTAGAGGTGGAGCATCCAGGAACTCCCCACAAGGACAGTGGGGAGGGTGCTGTCAGTGCTGTGCATGACTGGCCTGCAGAGATCTGCACAGCCATGCTGTCTCTGAGATCCGCGTACCCCTGCAAGGAAGAGGAGGACCCTATGTACTGAGCCATGAGTCCAGGCCTGCCCAACTCACACACACACACACACACACACACACACACACCCTGCCCATTTCCAAACCTCTCCCAACTTCCAGGCCTGCCCAACTCACACACACACACACACACACACACACACACACACACACACACACACACACACACTACCCATTTCCAAACCTCTCCCAACTTCCCTTACCTCCTGCCTCACCCAAGCTAGCTTCCCTGCATGGTTGCCATGTGTGGGGCAGCAGACACCTTCCCAAAGCCATGGCAAAGCAGGGGGCACACGTGCTCCCCTTGTGAGTGCTCCCCTTGTGAGTGTGCCCCTTGTGAGTGCTCCCCTTGTGAGTGCTCCCCTTGTGAATGCTCCCCTTGTGAGGCCACGGTGCTGCTGCTGCTGCTGCTGCTGCTGCTGCTGCTGCTGCTGCTGCTGCTGCTGCTGCAGGACAGGTGCCATGCACTGCTGGATGTCCCTGGGGTGCTCTTCTGAGTCACTGTGCCCTGGGCACCAGTGGTCTGTGTGCACTGTGCCCTGCCTCCAGCCTGCTCCCCTCCGTGCATCTCTCCAGAGCTTTCATCCCCTCTTCTGCCTCCATGCACCATTTGAGTTCCAACTCTCCTGTTTGTACCCGGTTCCCAGCAGCATTCCGTGGTGACCAGTATGCTGGGGCGCCTGCCAGGCCCCTGGACCAACTCTGGGAAGTTGTCCAACCTGGAGTGGATACTGACCATCTCCAAGGTTCTGGGAACCTGGATAAAGCCAGTGGCCTATGATCATTATTGCCACACCACACAGCTATCACAGTTCATGCCTCAGGCTGCCTTGGCTGGCTCAGGGACCCTGTCTTGTCTCCCAACAGCTGCTGGTGGAGTCCTCCCCAGCAGGTGGCCTCCCTGCACCCCACCACCACCCACAGCCCCTTTGAGGCCAGTGACCCACGTTTTGGCTGGGTGATGTACATTGAAGGAGGATTTTGTGCACACACCTGCATCCTCTTGTCCTGGTCCCGTGTGCCTTGCCAGTGCTGTGTTCAGTGACAGCTCACTGCTAGGCCTCTTTAATCTCAGCACAGAGGCAAGGCAGAGGCTCCTGTCCTTGCTGGAGCTCCTGGCCCAAATTAGCATGCGCCTCCTTACTCCTGTGCACATCACACACAGAACTCCAAGTTTCCGGTCGGGTGCCGTGGTCCAGCATCTCCCAGGCACTTGAGGCTTGAACACTGCAGCTGTCTCCTAACTCGGGGAGGGCCTCAGAGCCTCCCAGCACACCTTCTGAGCAGCTGTGCCCCAGGAAAGCCACCTGCCACCAAAGCTGCTCCACTAGGAGCATGGTCCCGGCCCATGTCGCCCCCTCCTGTTCATTTGCTGGTAGTGCGCTCCTGAAAACATGGCTTGGGTGTGGATGCAGGGCTTTCTTGTCTGACCCCTCATTGCTTGACTGGTGGTCTCTTGGAGCCTAAGCAGGAGGCCCGTTTCACGGTGTATGGGTGGGGTGTCTGATTCAGGAGGCATCTGAATAGAGTTGTGAAACAAGAGCCCTGGGACCCCATCCTGTTGGGCACAGACAATGCAAGATCAAAATAGCTCTGGATCACAAAATGGACCTGTGTGCTGCTGGGCTCTCCCACCACAAACTCTGAACTAGGTCAACCATGCTGCCCTGCCGCCCCTGGTCTACAGCGCTGTACCCTGCCTGGCCTGAGCTGTCTCCTCCGTCATGTGAGCGTGCCGCAGACTGCCTTCCAGCTCCTGAAAGAGCTCTGGGTGTGCTGCTGCTGCTGCTGCTTCTCATGAGCGCCTTCGTGTGTGGTGCCCGAGGGCACAGTTTGTCCACGCTCCTTCTGGAGCCCTCCCCTGGCACCTGTTGTTCCTGGGGATTGTGTGCTTTGAGGCCCCTGCACTCCGTTCCCTGGAAACGCAGGCAGGCTTTCAAATATGCAGTTGCAACAGGGATAATGTATTTGGGGGTTATCTTTGTTAAATATAACCTTGAATAAAAATAGCTTCCGTGGTAGAAGAAAGAGACCAGTGCCATGAGTTACATATTTTTTATGTTGCCATCTTTTTAAATGTGTTCTCTAATGCTATGTTGCCTTGACTTGCACAAGTGTGCTTTCTCTATTATTAATGGAAACCATAAGTGAAAATTGGAAATGTCCAAATATTTCAACATGGCTCCTCTCAAAGAGGAAGGAAGGGGTAGCAAAGATTCATTTGGTTCAATTATTCTGCTAGCGTTTTTTCCCCCAGAAACCCAAACTCCACTAAAGACCCTAACTAAGACATCAGCCTTATCTCTCAGCTTCAGTTGTCCCATGTTGAACTTAGTAGTTTTTCTGTTTGTGTCTGTGGGCATAGAAAACTTACCATGATGCTCTTCAATTTTCAGGAACATGTATGTGAATATCTAATACCCACATTTACTAAGGTCTTCATCTGGGAATTGACTTGAGTTAGGAGACATGAAATTCGCTGTTTTTCTTTCTGTCTCCTCTCTGCTGTCCACAGAGTTCCTCTCTGACAAAAATTTCCTTTAAATGCTAAATTCTTAATATCTGTGACTTGTACAAAATAAAGAAAAATATTCTTATTATAGAATAAGAGAGGGCCAAGGCCAGTTCCAGATATGGCTGGTTTGTTTTGTAAGTTAGAATAACTTGGGGCCGGGCGGTGGTGGCACACGCCTTTAATCCCAGCACCTGGGAAGCAGAAGCAAGCAGATCTCTGTGAGTTCGATGCCAGCCTGGTCTACAGAGTGAGATCCAGGACAGGCTCCAAAGCTACACAGAGAAACCCTGAATCAAAAAAAAAAGTTAGGATAACTCCCAATTGATGGTTTATAGATTTTAAAAATTACTTTTGAGAACTCAGATGTTCTGACTGATGTACAGGCAATGTCTTGCTTCTGTTTATGTAAGAATGTTATTCTATTTACTTAAGCTTGATTATAAGTAATGGGAATGAGCAGGGGTACAGGGGGCCAAGTTGTCAATCAAGATTTTGCTCTATATATTTATATCAGTCCTAAGAAAGAGAAACGTATGTGGAGTGAACTAACTAGAAATCACGACCAGGCATTTCATATCATATCATATGAATGAGGCTGAGCAACAACAGGTCAAGCAGTTCCTTCTGTTGCATTTTAAGTTCAAAGGTGATTTTGGTTTACATAGACAATTCATTTGTTGCCTGCATTAGGGCCAGAGCCCCTGTCCTGGCAGCCCTAACAAGCTAGGCTTGCCCACCCATCCTAAATGAGCCAATGAAAAGAGCCAAATTACTAACGAAAGGCAGCAACAAGAGTGAGCACCTTAAGAAGAGTGACAAAGAGAACTACAGGATCTTCCGCCAAATCTTTCTTCAGGGTCCTGATGCTATGGCAAGGTTTAAATGGAAGGCAAGTGATGTGCAGGATTAGGCAGTCCTGGTCAAGGTGTGGTCCCAACCATCCTTCAATCACCGTTGTTGTCTGGGGTCCACTCTCTCTTGTAAGATGGTCTGACAAATTGTGCGCACTGTGCAAAACCCCTTTCCTCCCTCTCTGGCTGGCACCAGGCTTCATTCAGCCTTCTCCTTCTCCCAGCTTGAGATTGCTGAGGAAGTCTAGTCTAGTTCTTTGGGGTGCCTTGTTCCAATGGTCCAGATTGCCAGAGTGAGGGACTCCTTGGATTATCCTCATTTGCTCCAAGCATGCCAATTACACATCCATCCTAATGGCTCAAAATTCCCCAAATAATGTGTTATACATCAAAATCTCCCATTTCCTTTCCCTCAGCAATATTCAGTTCTCCCCCACAAGAGGCAATGTTGTTGGCAGTGTCTTGTATATTATTCCAAAGACACGGTTTGTGTACATACACATTCTAGACACACATAGGCAAACACATACACCTGCAGTATGTGAATAGCCTTGCCATTTCCTCACCCCACTACATAAATACCTTGATTTTTTTTAATAACTGTATTTTGTTTTATTGCATTAATATATCTTAATTATTTGGTGATTCAATTATTTGTGAATTTTTTGTGTGAATTTCTCTGTGTAGTTCTGACTGTCCTGGTCTCGCTCTGTGGACCAGGCTAGCCTCAAACTCACAGAGATCCATCTGCTTCTGCCCTCCAAGTGCTGGGATTAAAGGTGTGCACCACCACTGCCCAGCTTATTTGTGGATATTTAAGGATTCCCTTCCCTGCATTGCTTCCTATTACAAATACTGCTTTAATAATAGACATCATATGCTTCTTTCTTTCTATTCTTTTTTCATCC